AAAATATTTCCCCATTTAGTAAACAACTAAATGGAATGTTTTGAGTTCAACTAGTTTTTAAAATTGTCAGCGTGGGTTTGGAGAGGTTAGGATTGTTTTATGATAACAAAATGTTTTCAAGCAGGACTATTAAAATGACATTTCCTCAACAGAAGTCACAGAATTTTTTTTACCAATTGAACTATATTTTTCCCAATTGAAAAATACTTTCTAAGCATTTAAGTATACTGACATTTGTTTGCAGTGAAACACACAACTTATTTCTTTCAAATTAGTTCATCCAAAGTTGTGTAAATTTGCTGTGTTACTATTGGCGGTAAAATCTTGTTTGATTTTTTTTTTTACTTTTCAACTGACGGGGAACTTAAAGAGATTCAAGCATTCCACTACCTTTCTTCCAGCTATATGTGTGTATCTTCCTATAGGTATTCCTTATGCATTCTTCTAATCTAGAGCGATCAAAAAGGGTATTGCTCTCTGTATTCAATTACAGTACTCTGCAACAAGGGGGGAGGGATTGGCACTGCGAAAACCGCAACAGAAACCGTGTCTCATCCTAACTGACTAGGTTGTAAGACTTTGGATTTTTTTTTATTTTATTTTTTTACGTTAACGGAATTAAACTTAACCTACCACGTTGCAATCCTCGTCGAGGGGCAATGGTAATGCACTAGTTTGCTGATCAAAAGATGGTTGCAGATGCGAGAAAAACGCACTGCTGGCTGGAAGAAAAAGCACTGAAGAGCAACTCCTTCTGTTTCGGTTCACGTCTACCTAGTTATGTCCGAGTTATTCCATGGTTGAGGGTGCTGGCGTCCCACTCGTGCCCTTGCCTACCCCGCGTCTTGTGCATCGCGCATTTCCCCGTTTTTGTCGTCGTTGTTGCGTATATGGTAGAGGGGGAATCCGGGTCGGACTTTGGGAGATGCTTTGCTCGATGTTCAGAGGGAGAGAGCGCGAAGGGTGGGGTTCCTCGGAAGAAGCGGAGCCGTGGACTTGAAGGCGGGCTCCTGGGCTGGATCTTAGCTGCTCCACGGGGTCACTTCGCTCAGGGACTCACAGAGCAGCTGTCCGGACTGCCTCGCCGGCCACACACCTTCTCGAAAGGGGGCTCCGGCCGAGTACTGCCTCTCGTATCCGCGAGTTCCGTCCTTCTCGCCCCCTCCCCTGTCCAGGACGTGCCCGCCGCGACCTGGTACCCGGGCGAGCCGTGCCCCGTACTCTCCCCTCTTCTTCCACCTCCGCTTCTTCCAGCTGCTGAGCCGAGGCTTGCGGGGGGGGGAGGCTGAGGAAGGAAGGCTCCGTCCACCCCTTGTTAAAATTAAGCTCCCTCGGCTGGGGCCCTTCTCTTATGGCGCTGTCTTTGAGTGCCACCTATACGAGCAATGCCAGTCTGGGGAAGGGGCGGAAAGACCCCTACACTTCAGGGGCCTGATGAGAAGGGTGTTCGGTAATGAGGGGGGACGAAATAATGGACAACTTACTATTTCAGAATATATCTGGGACATAAAAACCTAAAGAAGAAATGGCCTATAGGTTCCTTGCCGCCATTTAGCGTGCATCTCACTACTTTCACCTCTTTGCAGCCCTCCTCCTCAGTAGGATGCGGCTCTTTTTCAAGATGCAAAAAAGGCACACAGCTTATGCAGCCCAAGATCCCTGAAGCATGCTTCGTAGAAGTTTGATGGCCCAGTGTTACATTAGGCTAGAGAAGAAAGAAGGCCTGAAACGAAGAGGGCTAGTGGTAGCGACCGCAGTACTTAGAGTTAGTCTTGTCTGCATTGCATACAGTACCTCTGTTTCAAATACTGTAAGGGGTCCTTTTTCTGTCCCTTTGTTCCACCTTATGCAAAATTTATTTTCACTGGAAATGGACTGGGGATCTACAACAGTTCAGACTGAAATAAATCTGTCTTTGAGGTGCCACAATAATTTCGGTTTGGTTTCTGATATGCATGCTGAAACAAACACGCTATTTCTTTGAAAACTACATAGGACTCCTACATGCTTTATGCAAACACAATATATCGTGCTGTGACAAGAAAACACAAATGGAGAAATCAGTTTTGGGCCTTGTTTACAGGAATATTTACTTTTGTTAACCAACTACTCTTATGTACTGTAATATATACTGAAATCAGTGGGACTTACTCTGGGACTACATCCACTGGGATGAGCTTACAGATCTTTAATGTTCCTTTCCTATCATATTGATCCTTAGGGAAGCTGGGCTCAGTTTCTTGTTCTGTTCTGTGACTGACTTATGGCAACCCTAATAGGGCTTTCAAGATAAGTGAGATATTTAAGTAGCAGTTTTACCAGTTCCACTTTCCCAGTGAGTTTCCATGGCCAACTGGGGATTGGGACCCTTTTCTTCAGAGTCCTAGTCCATCATTCTATCCACAACATCACACTGGAAATCCCAGTCTACCACTGGGCTCAGTTTACCAGTAACCAAATGAGTAAACTGGCCTTCTAAGGAAATGTTAAGGGGACAGTAGTTAAGGATAAAATTATCTGTCTTTCTTTATTTGTATCACAGCATTGCACAATTTAAAATTATGGATATATATGAAAAACAGGTAAAATTACAAACAAATTAAAATAATTAGAAACTATTATAACATTATGAACAACAAAGAAACTTTGGGCATAGGGTGTAGCATACATTATTACAATGCTAAAAATCAATAGATAGGGGACTGAGCAAAGAAAATATGATGAATAGTCATGAAACTGACTGACAAGAAATTTGATATTATCTTAAGTTTCTATGAGAAGTCTGTCAGCCTCCACTAACCATTACTAAAACTTAGGAAAAGTCAGATGTTGATCAGTTTCACAGTCATTATACTGAGAGATGAGGAGCTGTCAGGAACACAGGTGGACACAGGGGGCTGTCACATTCAGTTGCTAAGCCATTCTTTGAAAAATGATGTTGAACTAGGTGCATCTTTGGTTCGATGCTTTAAGACAGCTCTTATTTTTTTCTCCTCTTTAAGCTAGACCAGCTTCCATCACCTCATCATGCTGACTGAAGGCTTGTCAGAGCTGAAATCCAAAAACAACGGAAAGGCCAAAGCCCTGGCCTTGAACCAGGCAATGAATTGCTATGGAATGAAGAGGAGATTATCTGTTAATTCCCCGATTTTATGTCCCCCAGTACCTTAGTCATTCACCCCCTGCAAAGAGGATCCTCCGACCTTCTCTACAAATGTGCTCTTTTCCTCCTTGGTCAGCAGAGCCCACCTGGAAAGGGCAGCAGTGATGGATCATAGTCAGGAATGGGGGCATCCTTAGGTTTGGTCCATACTCTTCCTCCTCTGAGCATGAGAAAGGTGAACGAGACATCCCTTTGTTTTGTTCTTCTCTTAAAAACTAGGGGGTTAGTGTTCTGGGGCCATGACAGTTTGTAGGGCTCATCACGAGAGTACAATAATCATTACTTGAGCAAGTAATTGTGTGAAGTGGGGAAAAACTATACTGTATTGGGAAAGGTTTTTAAAATCCCAGTTTTAAGAAAAGCAGACCTGAGGAACTGTTTTGCCACTGACTCTATAAATCGCTCTGGAAGCTTTTTATAAAATCCCGTTCACCAAATAACGTAGCCAGGCTTTGAATGTGAGACTTCGATTGGGGGGAGATTTTTCCTCAGATAAGGACTTCCGAAAGGGCCACCCTGTGACTGATTCTTTTGTAACGAAAGCGGTTTCGAGACACCTTGAAGGCGAACGAACGGCTGGAGAAATTCAGTTTATGCCACGCATGTTAAACGTTTCGTGCGTCACGGTCCCTAAAGCAGCCACCGCCGGGCATGGGCAATTATCCTCAGGAGAAGCAAGCATATGGGCATCTTACTGGTCCAGGTCCCTTCTTAAAATAGTTTTTGCCTTTTGAAGGATTTTAAGTATTATGCAGAGTGTGCACAAACCTGTCTAACCTCCCGCCACCCCCAAACCCCAATGACTGGGGGCTACTGAGAGACACGCGTGATGAGGCCGGAGGACAGGAGAAACAAGGTGGGGAGGAAAGGGGGCATTTCCCGCTCCCATTCTTTCTGCCACTCTCTAGGTTTGATTTTGGCAAGAGATGTGCACATATACACGCTTCCCCCCGCCCAGTGCCTGAAGCCACGTGAAAGTCGCCGCTGTCGTCGGAAGGGGAAGGAGGACAGTCTTCCGAAAGCCGGTTAAATGGGCGCTATTTATATTCATAAACATATGTCTACTCCTTCTTTTCCCCCCTTTTTGGGGGGGCGGGCGGGGTGGAGACAGTCGTCGGGATGTGTG